AATATAATAATAATTACATTCATATATAATTATGTTTATAAAGATATATTATTTCGTGGGTTGCTTTTGAAAAGTTTTCAATCTTAATAAAAATAAAAAATCAATATTGTTTTAAGGAATTATTATTATTAATTAGAAAAATAATTCAAATAATTTAAAAACTTGTATACGCGTCGTCGATAATCGGATTCGTGTATTAGGTGAATTTAATTTGTTATAGATCGATTTTTATTTTCAACCATTATGAAACAACCCATATGCAAAATACCCACACAAACACCGTGAACGGTTAAGAATGTATCTCAGATAGGATGGGATGGGGCACAACGCTTAAAGATAAAGAACGGTGTCTGTAAAAAAGGCCCACGATGATGGCGCATTGTCGAGTAGAGTGAGCTGACTATAAAAAGCTATGCCGCTGCTAAGCTGCTCGTAAAACTTGACAAAAACTCGCCAAATATAGTACTCCGACTATCTTTCTCTTTCTTTACTCGAAATATGTAACTATTATTTCATTTTTTTATTGCTCCTTATTCTTCTCTCCATTCGAATTATCTAGATAATTTATTATTAAAATATATCAACAAACAAACAAAACAAAAAACAGTGATTTATAATCAAATGTTTTTAGATTGATAAATCAAACGAATATGATATAATGTAGATAAAAATCTAAACAATTTATAAAATGATACACCTTGATATATTATTTAAATGATTAGAAAAACGATTATTCTAAAAAAAGAAAAAAAAAAGAAAAGAATTTTAATCAGTCATAGAATGGTGGTAGGAAAGTCCTGCTTTCAAATCCCAGTAGTACTTACGCAAAATGAAAAAATAAGAACACTATGATGGTAATGGAATAAAATGATTAATTAAGGATTAATTTTAGCTTAAAAATTAGAGAAGAATATATGGAACATATATAAAATATAAATGTTACACAAATTGTTTAAAATTATTTAAATTCTTTTCAATTAAATAATAAGAAGTACACAATACGTGAGCATGGAATAAAATTATTAAAACTCGTGTTTCTCAATTGATGTTTATGATTTAGAAAAAAAAATAGAGAATATGATTGAGAACCACTGAATGCCGAAGAAGTTCCCACGCTAGCCCGCATCATGCTCGACTATATCGCGGCTTAGATACCATGCTATGGTTCTCTGTCTCGTCAGTGAGCACCGTGCTAGTTACTTCGTCGAGTTTAGAGAAGCCTAGCTAGCTAGGCTAGCCTTTACTCGATTGGCCGATCGTACAACCAATTAAGAAAAGAGAGAGAGAGAGAGAGAGAGAGAGAGAGAGAGAGAGAGAGAGAGAGAGAGAGAGAGAGAGAGAGAGAATAAATATTCTAAGCTCGTTCTTCTCGTGCCAAGCTGTCGTCTCTAACTTAACTACGCCATGTTATCCCAAATGGCGGATATAAGGATAA